ATATATTAAGATATTCATATATTTATTTATTTATTTCAAAGAAATCTTTTACATTTTTTTTAATAAAAGGCTTAATTTAGCAAATAGTCTTTCTATCCTAAAATAAGATAACCATTTTCTAGATAATTATTGGAGTTGAATTTTCATTTATTTATTAATATTACTTACAATCAAAGCCTAATTAGTACAAATTAATTAATCAATCTACTTAAATAAAAAATATTAGGCTGATGACCCACCCTTTTTTTAATGAAATAAAAGTAAATCTTTTTAAGAATGAATGTGATAAATAATAAAAAATATTTTATAATTATTGTTTGTTATATTTTGATTTAAAGTATAAAAGAATTAATAAGCTTAAAGAAAAAACGCCTAAGTAAAATTAATAAAAACATCTATCTATCTGAAACCGCAATAAGGGAATCAATTATAGGTGTGGTCTTATTATGGTATACATAAATAAGATATGTTATAAAATTAGAAAAATAAAATAGACTATATAAAAGTGAATGAATAAAAATAAAAAAAATCTTGAGATGAGATCTAATTTAATTTTAGAAAAATTAATTAAAAGCTAAATCATAAAAAATAAATGCTTAATCTAGTAACAATTAGAAGATAAAATTTCAATTAAATAGACATTTGCTATATAAGATTTATTATTAGAATAATTGTAAAAATTAATAAATAGTTCATTTTAACTAATAAACAAAACGTATTAATGCTAAGAAAATATAAACTGTTATAAAATTTTAATTCAAAAAAAAAAATAGATTTTAAATGTGTTTTTTCATTCAAATAGTCTTTACATCAAACATGTTGAAGTTTTATAAGTGAAATTATTTATATTTGTTATTTAATTTAAAATAAATAATGTATTTTTATCCACTTTGATTTATATATTTACAATTAATAATTAAATAAATATCTGTTTATTGCTCAAAACAAAAGAAGAATATAAATAATTAAATAAGAAAGAAATGTTTATTATTATTATCATTTATCTTACATTTTCATTCTTTCACTCATCAAATATAATCAATGATTTGGTGGATAGATTTTAATAGATTTTTTATTTACACTTGTTCATTCAATTAGTTAATATATATTTTTCATAAAAATAATAAATAAATAGCGTATAAATAATCAAATTAGAATCATCTATTGGCTTTTAAATATAGATATTATATACTTTTTGGCTGGTTTTTAACTTAAACATTTTGTACATAATTTCAATTTTATAGCTGAGTTGATAGATAGATAGATAGATAGATAGATAGATAGATATTACTGCTAATTTATTTAGATGGAAATATAAACTTTATTTCTAAGAATTTAATTAAAATAAATGCAAATAATAAATGATAAATTTAATAAAAAAGAGTAAATTAAATTTCTTTAAACATTTATCAAATATAGTGAATGAATGGATGGATATATTTTAATAGATTTTTTATTTACACTTGTTCATTCAATTAGTTAATATATTGTTGTCATAAAAATAATAAATAAATAGCTATAAAATAATCAAATTAATTATCATCTATTGGCTTTTAAATATAGATATCATATACATTTTTGCTGGTTTTTAACATAAAAAAAACTCTTCAAATATTGCATTAGAGGAGGGATAAACATATAAATATGTATAAATAAGAAAACCATTTTTAAAAGCAATATCTTGACAAAGTTACTTTTCAGCTCATTTGATTTACTAAATTTTAAATAGTAACTTAATTCATAAATTTTTGAGAAAAATAGATAAAATAAAATTGATAATCAATCAATGATAAAAGCCAATTTTAGCTGTTCACTAAATGATAGTATTACAAAAAAATTGATAAGTAAATTAACTAACATAAAGTAGAAAAATATAACCTAATCTTTATTTAAAAGCTAATATGTATTATTAACGTTACAATTAAATATATAAAAGTATGCAGTTAATTATCATAACGTCACTAAATACTTAACTCAAAATAATTAATTCATGTTTATAAAAAAATAATTAATTCATGTTTATAAACAAATAATTGACTCGTTTAATTTCGTTTAATTTGGATAATGAGGATTTTTTTTTACTTTTTACGTAATATATAGAGTGTGGTAGATCATATATATAATTTAGTTATTTATTTATTTTTCACTTCTAAAATACATTAAAATAAACCAATTTCAAACCAATTTATTTATTTTTGCACTTTTCAAAGTTAAATTCCTTTATTCATATTAAGTACTTTAATTAAAAAATTTCAGGCTTAATTTGATCCGGTAAAAAAAGAATTCTTCTTTTTTTAATAATTGACTAGTTAATAAATTGCTAAAATTCTGACGTATTTTAATTTAATTAATTACTAAAAATTAGCCAGAATATTTTCTTTTTAATTTACAAATTTTCAAAAGACTTTTTTTGATTTAAGTAAGTTCTCCCAAAAATCTATTTAAATACAAATATTTTGGGTCTCCTAAATAGTTAAAAAAGTGTTTAGTGCTTTCTATTAAACATTTTAAAATATATTTTGCCATACAACTAACTAAAATGAAAGGAGCAGAAATTTTGGTTGTCTTTTAATAGAAAAAACTATAAATCCATTTTTTCTTAGTTTAACATGAAAATGAAAAATTATTAATTTCTAAATTTTTATTTTCTATCCATTTTGATGACTCAATTAATTAATAAATATATTTTTTTGCTTTATGTTTTCATATTAAAAGTATAAACAAAAATGCAAATAAATATCTTACTTAATATTTGATGTAATTAAAATAAATTTACAATCATATAATAAATTCTCTCACTATCAAAGACGTCGAATATCGAATATTCATAATTCTTTATACTAATTCTATATGCTTTGATGTTATGAATTAAAATATATTTTGATTAGCTATAATATTTTTTAATATCCAAAAATGACTATCATATTTTTAGATTTTATGCATTAAGTATCAAACAATAAATTTTAATATTTAACAATAAATATGTATTTTGTCTTCGTTAGATTAATGAAAAATTATAGCTTACTTTTTTTAATTACATTAAAATATTAGCAAAAAGTATATTTCTTTGATATCTTTCTTAATTTTTTACGTATTATCTAAATTTGATTTCAGGTAAAATTTTATTTTGAAAATAATTAGATTACAATATTTGCATTTACTTTCAATAATCATGTTTCCCAAAAAGCCTTGTTCAATGCTATCTATCTGTCTTTTAATCATTTATCGAAGTAAAAAAAAAAATAAAATAAATTTCTATGTTTTAAATTTTTTTAAAAATAACAATCAGTTTATTGCATTCTATTTAGAAATTTATTTTTTAAATAATTCTATTTTAATAAAAAGATTGTGCTTTTCTCTTTACTATTTTCAAGGAATGCACTTACAATAAATAATTTGATGTAATTTTAATATTAATCTTTTATCTCATGTTCGTTAGGTGTTATCTTCTTAAAATATTGCAAAAATTATAAGCAGATATTTTAAAATTAATATATTTTTTTAAATATTTGATAAAGATTTTTAAAATATTTTTGAGTTTCAATATTTTAAAAAATTGACAAATAATATGCCACAATAATAAATTAAAATTTTATTCGTATCCATCTTTAAAATTCTATATCTTTTTATAAATAGATAGATAGATAGCATGCATTTTATTTTACTCTTTGTACAACTGGTATAAAAAAAATAAATCTATTTGAATATTTCACCAAAATTTTTGATTTAATAATAATTTCAGGCAATTATTAATATGAATTGAAATTTTAAGCTAATGATATTTTCTTTTATTATTAGGTGAATTTTTAGCTTTAATTTTTTTAGTTTGAATAACTTTAGTCCTGAAATTGTAACATTCTATTTTAACTAGTAAATTAATTATCAAATAATTTTAATTAAGATAGAATGGAATATTATTTATATGAATTTATTTCTGGCTATTTCTTTCTTTGATCAGAAAAAATTAACTAGTTAAAATTATTATAAAACCGGATGATATTTAAGTATTTTGAAATAAATAAATTCAAAAAAAAATAAAGAAAATACTTCTTAAACAAAAAAAAAACATTCTTTCATTAAATCTTTCAAAATGAATAAATCAATACTTTTAATTGCTTTTGTTTTATTTGCTGCTTATGCAAATGCTTAAACATGTGGTACTAACGCATCATCAGTTTCAGGAACATGTTTGTGTAATCAAGGATATTATGGTACTAGTGCTGCATAAGGTTAAACTTGTACTTAATGCCCTACTGGAACTACTACTGCTGCTCCCTCTACCACATCTAACACTATGGCCGGTGCTGATGTTAGTGCCTGCACTTAATGCTCAGCTAACTACTAAATGACTGCCGTCGCTGCTGCTGCAGCTGCTCCTGCACCTGCTGCTGCTGCTACATGCGTTGCTTGTCCTAATAATAGTGGAAATACTGGAGCCACTGTTGTTGGTGATCTTTCATAATGCAACATTTGCAAAGCTGGTTATTATTAAACTACTGCTGCTAGTACTGGAGTTGCTTCTGCTTGCTAACAATGTCCTAGTGGTACTTCAGTTGCTGGCTCTACATCATCAACTGCTTGTACTTCTAGTACTACAAGCTCAAAGATGCTTTTTGCTTCATTAGCTATTTTAATTACATCTTTATTAGCTTGAATTTGATATGAGCTAGAATAATAAACATTAATCAATAATCTTAAATTTATTATAAATGAATGATAGATTTTAATAAATATTTTAGTTGTTTGTTAAATATTGGTCGTTTGATTTATAATAAATAAATAAATATTCTTTGTTTAACTTTTCACTTAATATTTCAAAGAATTCTTTTCATTTATATTCTTATTAAACAAATTAATTAATAACTATTCAGGTAAAATTTTAATAGATTTTTTACAATAAAAATAATTGACAATCAATCTTCTTTGAGATTGATTTATTTATTTATTTATTGCTCAACATTCTGATTTAAAAAAGTATTTTTATCAAATTAAAGTATAATTATTTAGATTTGATGATTAAATTAAGAATAAAAACTTAAAAATATAAATTAAATAAATCAATTATCTATTTCTTTATTTATTTTATAGGTATATTAAGTAAGCTCAAAAAGTAAAATAAAATATTCTTAATCTTCTTACTCCAATACCAATAACAATTTAATGATGAGATAATTCTTTTGATTTTATTGAAAATTATTTGTATTTTTATTTATTTATGTATGTATGTATCTGACTAAATTATATCTTATTCCACTCAACAATTAATTAAAAGATCATTTAATTTAAAATATTACATACAAGCTTAAAACTCCTCTTTGTTTTTCTTCTTCTACTATTAATATATTCTAAATTAAAATTTCACGCAATTTTAAAATTAACAAATAAAGCTAAAAAAATCAAAGAGTAAATAAATATTTTAATTCATCAAATTCTTAATTAAACTGGCACTTTTTCGATAATAAAAAATATTTTATATATTTTAAGAATTCCTTAAAAATAATTTTTTAAACATTTAATATAGAAAAACAAACATTAATATTTAAAATATTTTAAAAATAAAACTTTAAACAAATAATCTAAATATCAATTAATATTTCATTTATATATATATATCCTTAGTTAATGTAGTTGTTCTTGTATATTTTATTAAGGTTATTGTATATGATAAAGATGGAAAATATTACAATCAATTTCCTGCTATACTACTAATACTTCAGTTAGTCCTCTTACTTTATAATAGAGGAGCTAAATATAAATGGTAAATGCTTGTTTAAGTGTTTGAAACTAATGCTAAGCTAATACCTATATTATTGCTGCAACTGATATCTTCTAATGGTAATTTCTATTTCTAAAGGAGTGAATACTTCTGCTTTTACTTGCTAATTTTACCCAATTAATAATACATCTGCTGCTAAAGTTGGGTAATGCGATTAATTACTTTTCTAATTAAAATTCAAGCTCAAAAATCATGCTTACTTTTTTATTTGATTGTTTGTTTGTTTGTTTATTAGTCAATCTATTTTAATGTTATCTTTATTTGAGTGAAAAGACTAATAATTAGAGATACTTCATAAAGAAATCTTGATTAACAAATAAATATCATTATGCTTATTATGCTTGAATATTAAATCTACATCAAAAATAATAAAATTATTTTTTAAAAATATTTTTAATTGAAAAATATCTTAAAAATAAATTTAAATTAGAATTTCTTAGCTGATAAAATATTTTTATTAGTAGATTTATTTATTATTTACAAAAAATTAAAATGTCGCGCTTTTATCATTAAGGATATATATTATTTTTAAATCCCATCCAAATTAAAAATAAAATATCATTCAATATCATCGCACCTGTGATATTTATTGAAACTTTCTTTGAGTTATTTAGATTCAAAAAAATGTCTAAACAGTTTATTTTGAAAATAATTCATTCAGAATAGGATAAAGTAGATTGGTTGATTGTCTTTTTGTTTTTTCCAACAATTAATTCGTTAATTTATTTTAATTTAAAAAAAATTCAGGCCTAATTTAAATATATTTTTAACCAGAGTTATTTTTTCTTCTACTTTAATTTAATTAATTTTTAGTATATTTTTTGTTGACTATATCTTAAATTCAGGTAGGTGATTTAGTTAAATCTCTATCTATTTTTTATTAATATTTCGTTTAAAGAGGGTAATTGATAGATAATTTTTATAATTCATCAGAAATCAAAAAATAATAAATAAATTAAACCCAAGAAAGATCTTTCATTAATTCAATTACAAATGAACAAGCTAACTCTCTTAATTGCCTTTATAGTTTTTGCATCATATGCAAATGCTTAATGCGCTGCTAATGCTCAAGGAAATTTAGGTTCTTGTATGTGCAATCAAGGATATTATGGTGTTAATGCTGAAAATGGAGGTACTTGTAATTAGTGTCCTACTGGAACTACTACTGCTTCTCCTTCTTTATCAGCTGGTGGTAATACAAATGCCAGTGCTGATTTAAGTGTCTGCAACTAATGTTAAGCTAACTAATACATGACTGCTGCAGCTGCCGCCGCTTCTAATGGTAATGCTGCCACTGCCGCTTAATGCTCTAACTGTCCCACTGGAACTGGAAACAACGGAGTATAAAGCTAAGGGGATGTTTCTTAATGCAATATCTGCTAAGCTAATTATTACTAAACTGCTGCTGCAGTTACTGCTTCTAATGGAGTTACTGCAGCTGCTGTTACTTGCTAATCTTGCCCTAACGGAAGTACTTCTGCTGCTGGTGCCGCTTAATAAGCTAGCGATTGTTAATCTAATTAAACTACAAGCTCCAATATTTTATTAATATCTTTATCTGCTTTAATCTTATCAATATTTTGATGAAATTACAAAAATATTAAGAAATATTTTTAATATAATAAAGAAATAAATAAATAAATATAATATGTATAAAGTATGTATTAAATAGTATTCTAATTTTAATTATTATTTTCAATATAATATTTTTATCATTTAAATTTTTTAATGTTAGTATAGTTATTCTCAAATAATTATTTCGCTGTGAGTAGGATATATAAATTTAGTAGAATAATTAATATTTTTATGAATTAAAAGAAAATTTAAAAATAATAAAAAAAACTGTATCAGACAGAGTAGGTTTCGAACAGCTCCAAGACCTATTTTTTATTTACTCTTTATTTTTTTATTCTATAAAATATTATATATTGTTCTACTAAATATATATATATATATTTCTTACTCACAAAACTATTGTGTGAGAATAGCTAGCTCTATTTGTAACAATAAATTAAACAGAAGTAATTATTTCTTATTTTTTTTTACAACTTCCACTTTTTTAAATACTAATGAGTAAAAATTAATTACTTAATTTTATAAGGGTTTTAATTCATTAATTAATTAATAAAATACTTCAATATAAAAAATTTTAAAAAAATAAACAAAACTGTCAGCTGAAAAAAAAAAAATTTTAACTCCCCCCCCCCCCTTAATTTATGGGTATTTTTAAATTTTCATATGATAGTATGTTGCTGTTGGTCCCAAAATTCAATTTCATATAAATATTGTCAAGTTTTTTGCTTATCCTTTATTATTGCTTTTTCTTATTTTATTAGTTAATTTGGAGTAGTGATTATCTTGTAATCCACATATCTATCTATCTTATCATCATTAGATTAGAAATTCTTCTCAAGGTTTAATATTTATTCTTTTATTTCTTTCATTAAATTAAAAATTTCTTCAAATTATAAATTTTGAATTTGATATTTTTAAATTTTATTTAGTCACTAACATATATTAAGATAACTAATATTCAAACTAGTATTAAATATTTAGTATATGTTCAATCAATATTTATAGGAATGCCTTGCTCATAAAATTGGTAAAAAATTTAAAAAGTTTTTTTGTATATATTTTAAATAAAAATTCAGTAGAATTATTTATAATTTCTAATTTGAGATTTATTAATTTTGTAAAATAAATTAATTTTTACTGTTTTAACCCTTGTAAATAATATGCTTGCTAACTTTGATTTTATAATATAAGGTTAAAGGCTTTTTATTGAAAATAATCCCTGTTATATTAAATTGTTAAAAGAATGCTTCTTTGTTTTTTAATTAGGAAATACTCCAAATAACCAAAAAAAATTCAAAATTTAATTATAAAAAATGCTTCTTATTATTTATTTTCATTTTTAAATAGAATTTTTTAAATTAAAAGGAAATTAATAAAAAACTTTCTAATATTTTTATATTTTATTTTAAAATTATTGTTATCAGAATTCAATAAAACATACTGTTATTTATTTTTTCTTTCCAGTTAATTTATTAACTATTTTTTTTCTATTTAATTTAATTTCACGCTTAATTTCAATTTATTTAAATTCATGCTTATTATTTCAATTATCCAATTTTTACTTGCTATTATTTAATTAATCATAAATCAGGTAGATTTTAATTTTGCAAATAAAATTTGTTATTTAAATACAATCCAAAAAAAGTGAGTAAACATTTTTATAATTAATCAGAAATTTAAAATTAACAAATTCAAAATAATTAATTACTAGTTTCAATAAAATTCTTTAACTAACTCAATTAATTTTTGGAATGAACAAATCAATTCTTCTTTTAGCTTTTATTGCTTTTACTGCTTATGTAAATGCTCAATGCGCTACTAATGCTCAAGGAAATGTAGGTTCTTGTATGTGCAATCAAGGATATTATGGTACTAATGCAGAAAATGGAGGAAATTGTAATTAATGTCCTTCAGGAACTACTACTGCTTCTCCTTCATTATCTACTGGAGGTAATACAAATGCTAGTGCTGATGTAAGTGTATGCAATTAATGTTAAGCTAACTTATATATGACTGCTTCAGCTGCTGCTGCTTCTAATGGTAATGCTGCATCTGCTGCTCAATGTTCTACCTGCCCTACTGGAACTGGAAATAATGGAGTATAAAACTAAGGTGATCTTTCTTAATGCAATATCTGCTAAGCTAATTATTACTAAACTGTTGCTGCAGTTGCTGCTTCTAATGGAGCTGCTGCCGCTGCTGTTACTTGCTAATCTTGTCCAAGTGGAAGTACCTCTGCTGCTGGTGCTGCATAATAAGCAAGCGATTGTTAATCTAATTAAACCACAAGTTCAAAAATAATATTGGCATCATTATCTCTTTTAATGTTAGCAATATTTGCTTGATAAAAAATTTTTCTTACTAACTAAAAAAATATAAATAAATAAATACTGATATAATAAATTTGTATTTAATACAATTGTAATTTATATTTAAATTTTTGCATTGTAAAATTTGATAAGATTCTTTAAATACTTATTCTAATCTTCCTGAAATTTATTAACATTAAATTATTTTAAATAAAATATTGTTTCTTTTAAAATTATTTTTTTAATGATAAAGTTTGTTTCATTATTTATTTTTATCAGAACCAAAAGAATTTTTCTAAATTTTTAATGTCTTTCCTCAAAAAGTGTAAAAAAATATTTTATATAAGTATATTTTTAAAAATATCCTTTTCATCATTTTTGAAAAAAATCTTGGGTATCAATTAAAGTCATTTTAATTTAAGAGAAACTGCGTTTATAAGATGAAAAAAAAGAGGTTATTTTTTAAAGTCTTAGATTATAAGAATTAACACATATTTACTTTAATATAAAAATAATAATTAAAAATGTACTAAATTTTTAGATAAAGATACTTAATATTTTCTAAACATTTATTATCTATCTATCTGTCTAAGCTAACAATATTAAAAATTTTCATAGTATAAAAAAATATTTTGAGTAGAAAATCTATCTATTAATTTTAAAAATCTTAAATCAGGCAATAATTTAAATTGATATTTTATTTTAGGATAGAAAAATTTACAATTTGAATTTTCTTTTCATTATAATAAGAATTTAATTTAATATTTTTTTAAAGTTTTTCATGTAAGAATTTATCATATTTTATTTTTACTTTCAGTTATTTTTTCCATCAAAAGTTATTTTAATTTGAAAAACTTCTGGCTTAAATTAAAGTAATTTATAGCCACAGTTTATTTAATTTACCTTCTATTTATATTGATTAATCTTAATTATTTTTTACTAAATTCAGGCAGATTTCATTCTTGCTGGCCACAATTTTTATTTAAATATTAAGAGAAGGTAAAGGAAAGTGTTTGATTTTATAATTCATCAGAAATAAAAACTAATCAAAAAAAATAAAAAGATTAAACACTTTTATAAACTCTTTTACTAATTTAAAATGAATAAATCTTTATTACTTATTGCCTTTGTGCTATTTGCTGCACATGTAAATGCTTAGTGTGCTTCTAACGCTCAAGGAAATGTAGGTTCTTGTATGTGCAATCAAGGATATTATGGTGTTAATGCTGAAAATGGAGGTACTTGTAATTAGTGTCCTTCTGGAACTACTACTGCTTCTCCTTCTTTATCAGCTGGTGGTAATACAAATGCTAGTGCTGATTTAAGTGTATGTAACTAATGTTAAGCTAACTACTACATGACTGCTGCAGCTGCCGCCGCTTCTAATGGTAATGCTGCCACTGCTGCTTAATGCTCTAACTGCCCCACTGGAACTGGAAATAACGGAGTATAAAGCTAAGGTGATGTTTCCTAATGTAATATCTGCTAAGCTAATTATTACTAAAGTGCTGCTGCAGTTGCTGCTTCTAATGGAGTTACTGCCTCTGCTGTTACTTGCTAATCCTGTCCTAATGGAAGTACTTCTGTTGCTGGAGCTGCTCAATAAGCTAGTGATTGTTAGTCTAATTAAACCACAAACTCCAAAACTCTTTTAGTCTCTTTGTCTATTTTAATTTTATCAATTTTCGTATGAAATCACTTAGAAAAATCTTTAAGAAATCTATACCAATTAATAAATATCAAATTTAATGAAATTTAAACATTCTCTTTAATTAAAAAGATTATTTTAATAAAAAATTAAGTTTTTTGTAAAATATATATATATAATTTGAGATGTACTTAATTTCACTCAATATGCTTTGTCCTTATAAAATATTTTCAAAATTAATACCTTTATTTATTTATTTATTTATTTATTTATTTATTTATTTATTTATTTATTTATTTATTTTTATAGTGTTTAGTAAAAATAAATCTTCATTCACAGTTTGAAAAAATATTTTTATTTTTTTTGGTTTGATAAGCTTAAAATTAAGTTAAAAATAATTAAATAAACTATGAATGAATATTGCACAATTTTTTGCATATTTTATGGAGAAAGTAAGTATTCATAGATATTTAAAATAAGAAAGTTAGTTTTTCATTTTAAAAAATTTTACGCTAATAAAAATTTTTAATTATAAAATTATGTTTCTTCTAACATTTTTTATGTATGTTTTGAATTATATTACCATTTAAAGTAATTATTGTAAGTCTTTTTAAATTAAGTCTAAAAATAAACTCAGAAAGCAAATAAGAAAATAATATTAGAAATACAAATCCCTAATGACATCTCAATTTCAATATATTTTTAAAAAATAAATTAAGATTTAAAAATTTTATGATACCAAAGATTAAATGAGGTTATTTTTTCAAAATAATTGTTATCAGAATTGAGGAGAAAGGAGTTATTTTATTTTTTCCAACAATTAATTCGTTAATTTATTTTCTTTTTTCTATTTAATTAAATTTCAGGCCAAATTCTATTAATTTAAAACCAGAGTTATTATTTCTTCTACTTTAATTTATTCAATATTTTTTAAATAAATTTCTTTGATTAAATTCAGGCTTTTACAAACGTCTAAGATTTGATTTAAATATTGGCTCAAGACAGTAATCATTTTTTATAATTCATCAGAAATCAAAAATTAAATAAATAAATCAATCAATCAAAAACTCAATCAAAATGAATAAATCAACTCTTCTTATTGCCTTTTTAGTTTTTGCTGCTTATGCAAACGCTTAATGTGCTTCTAATGCTCAAGGAAATGTAGGTTCTTGTATGTGCAATCAAGGATATTATGGTGTTAATGCTGAAAATGGAGGTACTTGTAATTAATGTCCAGCTGGATCTACTACTGCATCTCCTTCTTTATCAGCTGGTGGTAATACAAATGCTAGTGCTGATCTAAGTGTCTGCAATTAATGTTAAGCTAACTACTACATGACTGCTGCAGCTGCCGCCGCTTCTAATGGTAATGCTGCCACTGCCGCTTAATGCTCTAACTGCCCCACTGGAACTGGAAACAACGGAGTATAAAGCTAAGGTGATGTTTCTTAATGCAATATCTGCTAAGCTAATTATTACTAAAGTGCTGCTGCAGTTGCTGCTTCTAATGGAGCTGCTGCCGCTGCTGTTACTTGCTAATCTTGTCCTAGTGGAAGTACTTCTGCTGCTGGCGCTGCTCAATAAGCAAGTGATTGCTAATAAAGTTCAACAACAAACTCAAAAATCCTTTTTGCATCTCTATGTATTTTAGTCTTATCTTTATCCATTTGAATCATAAATAATTTGTTTACTTATAAAGTTTAAAACCTAAATAATTTTTTAAACAATTGTATTAAAATGATTAAATATATTGGCATGTTTCTTACTAATTTGTATGAATTTTAACTTAACTTAAAAATATTAAATAAATAATAGTTGATTGATTTAATTAAAATAAAATTTCATTTTATTATTTCAAATTTTTAGTATAAAAAAACCTAAAAGTTAAATAAATAAATAAGTAAATTGATTGTATTTTTAGTAAGTTAAAAAATATAATAATAAAAATTTTAATGAAGCAATAAAATACTGAGCTATTCGGACATTCATTATTTTAATATTTTTTAGATTTATCATAATTCTTTATCAAATATATATTTCAACAATTAAATTTATTTTATGCTTTTAAATAAATGATGAAATAAAGATAAGTTAGTTTGATTTTTATTAGAAATATTAATTATATAATTAAGTAATGCAATTTTGATAATTTTTATCAAGTATTTTAATGCAAAAGTATTTTTTTTATTAAATATATATATGTATGTATGTATTAAATCAGATTAAGCTAAAAAACAAGGTTTATTCTTAAAATTAAAATTATAAAGATATATATTTTCAAAACTTAACAAAATATTATTTAAATAAAAAAAATCATTAATTTTAAAGAAATTATTTTTTATAAAGCTTTAAATATACCATTTTAGATCTAATCAAATTCCCCGAATGTATAATATTTATTTTCACCTTAAGATGTTAATTTGAATATTCTTCTAATTAATTTAATTTATTTTTGGAAAAGTTGTCTATATTAATTTAAAGTAATTAGTATTTGTAATCTTTACCTTTAAAGATAATAGAAGGTTTGAAAGAAAGTGATGAGTTATTTTACTCAATTTCAACAGAAAATAGAAGATTTTCAAACTAAAATTCATTTAAATATTTGTCATTTTGTTCATATATGATAAAAAATAAATTACTCTCATAAATATCAAAAAACAAACTAAAAACTAAGAGCAAATGCTAACTTTAAAAGGTTTTACGAAAAAATGTTAATATTATATTAAATTTTGCCTTTGTCCTATTATTTGTAGCTTTTTAATTTTTTCTAAAATACACACTTACTATTTAATTAAGTACTTAATTGAAATCGAATCTATTCTTTTTATTTTAATCAAAGGTTATTTGACTTTTTCAAATAAAATTAAGTTATCAATTAATTAATTTCAAATTAAGAAATCTTCTTTAATTTCATCAAAATGTTCTTCTATTTTAATTTTTTAGATAACTTTGATTTCACGTTAATTTTAAATTTAAAATTCGAAATAGAAACTAAATCCTTACATTTTAATTTATATTTTTTTTAATTCTGGCTATTTTTTAATTTTGTAAAAAAACTCTTACTCAATTTAAATTCTTTCTAAATTTTTGCTGCAAAAATTTATAACAAAATAATAATAAAAACAATTCTTAACAAACAAACATAATAACTTTTACACCAATCAATATACATTTATTCACTCAACTAAATAAATGAAAAAATAACTATTATTACTTGCTTTTGTATTATTTGCATCATATGCAAATGCTTAATGTGCTACTAACGCTCAAGGAAATGTGGGTTCTTGCATGTGCAATCAAGGATATTATGGTATTAATGCTGAAAATGGAGGTACTTGTAATTAGTGTCCTTCTGGAACTACTACTGCTTCTCCTTCTTTATCAGCTGGGGGTAATACAAATGCTAGTGCTGATCTAAGTGTCTGCAACTAATGTTAAGTTAACTACTACATGACTGCTGCCGCTGCCGCTGCTTCTAATGGTAATGCTGCCTCTGCTGCTCAATGCTCTAGCTGTCCAACTGGAACAGGAAACAACGGAGTATAAAGCTAAGGTGATGTTTCTTAATGCAATATCTGCTAAGCTAATTATTACTAAAGTGCTGCTGCAGTTGCTGCTTCTAATGGAGTTACTGCCGCTGCTGTTACTTGCTAATCTTGCCCTAATGGAAGTACTTCTGCTGCTGGCGCAGCTCAATAAGCAAGTGATTGCCAACAAAATTAAACCACTAACTCAAAGATCTTATTTGCATCTTTGTCTATTTTAATTGTATCAATATTTGCTTGAATAAAAAATCTTTATTATAATGAAAAATAAATAAATAGAAGTTAATAAATACATATCCTCAATACTAAAATAGTATACAAATAATTAATATCCTTAATTAAGTTAAGATAAATAATATTGTTGAGTTTTTGTTTTATAATTCCATCTAATCTTATTACTTACTTACTTACTCCTTTCCAAATCAATAAAAAAATTTATTAAGTAAATGAAAAATACCCTGCTCATAAAAAAATAATTTATTGGTAAAAAAATTTAACAAGTTTTTTTGAATATATTTTAAATAAAAATTCAGTAGAATAGTTTATATTTTCTCTTTTGATATTTATTTTATTATTTTTGTAAAATAAATTAGTTTTTTACTTTTTTAACTGTAGCAAAAAAGATGCTTGTTAACTTTGATTTTATAATTTAAGATTAAAAGCTTTTTATTTAACAATAATCCCTATAATATGCTATTATAAAAATAGTACTTCTTTGTTTTTTAATTAGGAAATATTCCAAATAACCAAATAACCAAAAAATTCAAAATTTAAACTTAAAAAATGTTTCTTAATATATATTTTCATATTTAAATAGAATATTTTAAACTAAAACCCAAGTTAATCATATTAATGTTTCTAATATTGATATTTACACTTTATTTTAAAATGGTTGTTATCATATTTTAATAAACTACTACTTTTTCTTTTCAGTTAATCCATGAACTATTTTTTTCTATTTTATCTAATTTCACGCTTAGCTTTAATTTATTTTAAGTCACGCTTTTATTTCATTTATCCAATTTTTTACTTGCTATCTTTTAATTAATCATAATTAATTCAGGTAGATTTTAATTTGAAAATACAATTTAATTTTTTATTTAAATACAGATCAAAGAAATTGCAGAAATTTTTATAATTCATCAGAAATTTAAAATTAACAAAATTCAAAAAAATAAATTACTACTTTCATATTACCTCAATTTGAAATGAACAAATCAATTCTTCTTATAGTTTTAATTGCTTTTACTGCATATGCAAATGCCCAATGCGCTTCTAATGCTCAAGGAAATGTAGGTTCTTGTATGTGTAACTAAGGATATTATGGTACTAATGCAGAAAATGGAGGAAATTGCAATTAATGTCCTTCAGGAACTACTACTGCTTCTCCTTCTTTATCAGCTGGCGGTAATACAAATGCTAGTGCTGATATAAGTGTCTGCAATTAATGCTAAGCTAACTTATATATGACTGCTTCAGCTGCTGCTGCTTCTAATGGTAATGCTGCCACTGCTGCTCAATGTTCTACCTGCCCTACAGGAACTGGAAATAATGGAGTATAAAACTAAGGTGATGTTTCTTAATGCAATATCTGCTAAGCTAATTATTACTAAACTGCTGCTGCAGTTGCTGCTTCTAATGGAGCTGCTGCCGCTGCTGTTACTTGCTAATCTTGTCCAAGTGGAAGTACCTCTGCTGCTGGTGCTGCATAATAAGCCAGCGATTGTTAATCTAATTAAACCACAAGCTCAAAAACATTATTGGCATCATTGTCTATTTTAATGTTAGCAATATTTGCTTGATAAAAAATTTTTCTTACTAACTAAAAAAATATAAATATATAAATAAATATTGAGATATTAAATTTGAATTAATTAACATGATTGTAATTTATTTATTTATTTTTAATTTTTTGTTAAAATTAATTAATAATTTTCATGATATAGTGTAATTAATTATTTTTATGAAATGTAAAAAAATAAATTTATGAATATTTAATGTGTTTCTACTTTCTTTTTGAAAAAATTTTAGGTATCAATTAAAGTAGTTTTAATTTAGGAGAAACTGCATTTATATGATGAAAAAAAGAGGTTACTTTTTTAAAGCCTGAGATAATAAGAATTAAAAAACACATATTTTCTTCGATATAAAAATAATAATTAAACATAGATTAAATTTTTTTATAAAGATCGTTAACATTTGTTACAATTTGATTATCATACTAACTAAGTTTTCAATATTAAAAATTAATTTTTATAGTTTGAAAAAAAAATTATTTTGAGTTGAAAATAAAACTATTAATGTTTAAGGCAATAAATAATTTTTATTGATATTTTATTTTAGAATAGAAAAGTTTACAACTTGAATTTTCTTTGAATAATAGATAGATAGATAGACCTGAATTTAATTGTCATTTTTTAATTATATATTTTTTTAAAATTTTTTATATAAGAATTTACCAAATTTTCTTTTGCTTTAATTGCTTTGTCCATCGATAGCTATTTTTATTTGTAAAATTTCTGGCTTAAATTAAAGAAATTTATTATCAATTAATTACCATAGTTAAATTTTCCTTCCATTTTTAATTTATTATATATTTATAATTAATCTTAATTATCCTTTACAAAATTCAGGCAGATTTTTTCGTTCGCTTGCCATAATTTAATTTTTATTTAAATATTGAGAAAAGGTAAAGAAAAAGTATATTTTTTATTATTCATCAGACAAAACTAATAAGCAAAAATAATAATTTTAAATCACACACTTTTATAAACTTTATTTACATTTTAAAATGAATAAATCTTTATTACTTATTGCCTATATGCTATTTGCTGCATATGTAAATGCTTAGTGCGCTCCTAATGCTTAAGGAAATGTAGGTTCTTGTATGTGCATTCAAGGATATTATGGTACTAACGCAGAAAGTGTAGGTACTTGCAATTAATGTCCAGGTGGAACTACAACTGCTTCTCCTTCTTTATCAGCTGGTGGTAATACAAATGCTAGTGCTGATCTAAGTGTATGCAATTAATGTTAAGCTAACTACTACATGATTGCTGCAGCTGCTACCGCTTCTAATGGTAATCCTGCTAATTCTGCTTAATGCATTATCTGCCCTACTGGAACTGGAAACAATGGAGTAAAAAACTAAGGTGATCTTTCTTAATGTAGTTTCTGCCAAGCTAATTATTACTAAACAGCTGTTGCAGTTGCTGCTTCTAATGGAGTTACTGCCGCTGCAGTTACTTGTTAATCTTGCCCTAATGGAAGTACTTCTACTGCTGGTACTGCTCAATCAGCAAGTGATTGTTTATAAAACTAAACAACAAACTCAAATATCATTTTAGTATCTCTATCTATTCTAGTCTTATCTTTTTCAATTTGAATCATAAATATATTTATATATAAAGTGTAAAACATAAATAGTTTATTAAAATAAATGTAAAAAAATGATTAAATCTATATGCATGTTACTTATTAATTAGTATGAATTTTAACTTAACTTAACTTAAAAATATTAAATAGTTTATTCATTGATTTGATTAAAATAAAATTTTATTTTATTTTTTGAATTTCTAGTATAAATATATGTATATATATATCTAAAATTTAAGTAAATAAATAAATTGATTGTATTTTTAGAGAGTTAAAAAATAATATAAAAATTTTTTTAAATAACATTTAAATGAAGCAATAAAAAAAATACAACATTCTACTTAAAATAATTCAAACATTGATTATTTGAAATAGTCTCTTGATTTGTCATAATTTATTTTAAAATTATAAATAAAAAATTTAATTCATTTCATGCTTTTTAATAAATAATTATATACAGACTGGTGACAGATAAGATAGTTTGCTTTGTTATTAGAAATAATAAATGATATACATAAATTTCATAATTATTAAATATTTTTTTTAAAAGTGTTTTTGTCTATTTAATATATGTTAATGAAATAAGATTAATAAGTTGAAGAATGAATGAATGAGGTTTATTCTTAAAGTTAAAACTGTAAGTAAAGATATTTTATAAATTCAATGAAATATTATTTAAAATTAAAATATTTTAAGTTAAAAGAAATTATTTATTACAAAGTTACAAACTATATTTAGATCTAATCAAATTCCCTAAATCTTTTATATTTATTTTCATCTTAATTTAAAAGTAAACAATTTTTGTAAAATATACCTTCAAATAAATGTAATAGAAGATTTGAAAGAAAGTAAGTAAGTAATGAGTTATTTTACTCAAATCAATTTCAAGCAAAAATAGAGCATTTCCTAATTTCTATTTAATTTAATACTTGATTGAAAATGAATCTATTCTTTTTATTTTCATCTAAGATTATTTATTTATTTATCTATTTCCATAAAAATTAAGTTATAAATTAATTAATTAATTTCAAGTTAAGAATGAACCTTTAATTACATATATAAGTGGTTCTATTTTAATTTTTTAGGTTATTTTGATTTCACGTTATTTTTAAATTTACAATTCGAAATAGAAATTAAATATTTACATTTTAATTTATACTTTTTAACTCAGGTTATATTTTAATATTGTAAAAAAACAAACTCTTCCTAATTTAAATTCTTTCTATATTTTATCTGAAAATTTTATAATAAAATAATAATAAAAACAATTCTTAACAAACAAACATAATAAATTTTACACCAATCAATATACATTTATTCACTCAACTAAATAAATGAACAAATAACTATTATTACTTGCTTTTGTATTATTTGCATCATATGCAAATGCTTAATGTGCTACTAATGCTCAAGGAAATGTAGGTTCTTGCATGTGCAATCAAGGATATTATGGTATTAATGCTGAAAATGGAGGTACTTGTAATTAGTGTCCTTCTGGAACTACAACTGCTTCTCCTTCTTTATCTGCTGGAGGTAATACAAATGCTAGTGCTGATTTAAGTGTATGCAATTAATGTTAAGCTAACTACTATATGACTGCTGCAGCTGCTGCCGCTTCTAATGGTAATGCTGCTTCTGCTGCATAATGTTCTAGCTGCCCTACTGGAACTGGAAATAATGGAGTACAAAACTAAGGTGATGTTTCTTAATGCAATATCTGCTAAGCTAATTATTACTAAACTGCTGCTGCAGTTGCTGCTTCTAATGGAGTTACTGCCGCTGCTGTTACTTGTTAATCTTGCCCTAATGGAAGTACTTCTGCTGCTGGTGCAGCTCAATAAGCAAGTGACTGCTAATAAAATTAAACCACTAACTCAAAGATCTTATTTGCATCTTTGTCTATTTTAATTGTATCAATGTTTGCTTGAATCAAAAAATTTTTTTTAGATTGAAAAATAAATAAATAAATAAATAAATAAATAAATAAATAAATAAATAAATAGAAGTTAATTAATTAATTAAAAAATATCCTCAATACAAAAAATGAATATAAATGCTTAATTAAATTAAGATAAATAATATTGTTGAGTTTGTATTTTATATAAGTTAGTTATTACATCTAATCTGATTACTCCCTTCTAAAAACATTTTTACATTAAATAAAAATTTAAAAGTATTATGATGAAAACCTAGATAAATCGAAATTTTTTTGAATTTGTGGGTTGCGAGTTAACGCGTTTTTAGGGTATGGCAAATAAAAATTGACTAAAATAATTTATATTTTTTTCTATTTTGAGAGTTAATTTATTAATTTTGTAAAATAAATTAATTTTTACCTTCTATTTAACTTGTTTCAAATAATATACTAAATTTGATTTTATATTACAAGATTAAAAACAAACTTTATATTAGACAATAATCCAAGTTATATGAAATTATTAACAGATCACTATTTAGTTTTTTAATTAAGAAATACTCCAAATAACCAAAAATAAATTCAAAATTTAATCATAAAAAATGTTTATAAATATTTATTTTTAATTTTTAAATAGAATATTTTAAACTAAAATGCAAATTAATTAATAAAAAATTAGTTTCTAATATTTATTTTTACACTTTATTTTGAAATGATTGCTATCAGAATTTAATAATACTGCTATTATTTTCTTTCCAGTTAATTCATTAACTATTTTTTTCTATTTTATCTAATTTCACGCTTAATTTTAATTTATTTTAAGTCACGCTTTTATTTCATTTACTCAATTTTTTACTTGCTATTTGTTAATTAATCATAATTAATTCAGGTATATTTTAATTTGAAAATACAATTTAATTTTTTATTTAAATACAGTTCAAAGATAGTGTAGAAATTTTTATAATTCATCAGAAATTTAAAATTAACAAAATTCAAAAACTTACTACTTCAATATTAATAAGCTCATCAACTAACTAACTAACTAACTAACTAACTAACTAACTAACTAACTAACTAACTAACTAACTAACTAACTAACTAACTAACTAACTAACTTAATTTGAAATGAACAAATCAATTCTTCTTATAGCTTTAATTGCTTTTACTGCATATGCAAATGCCCAATGCGCTACTAATGCTCAAGGAAATGTAGGTTCTTGTATGTGTAACTAAGGATATTATGGTACTAATGCAGAAAATGGAGGAAATTGCAATTAATGTCCTTCAGGAACTACTACTGCTGCTCCTTCTTTATCTGCTGGAGGTAATACAAATGCTAGTGCTGATTTAAGTGTATGCAATTAATGCTAAGCTAACTTATATATGACTGCTTCAGCTGCTGCCGCTTCTAATGGTAATGCTGCCACTGCTGCTCAATGTTCTACCTGCCCTACTGGAACTGGAAATAATGGAGTATAAAACTAAGGTGATGTTTCTTAATGCAATATCTGCTAAGCTAATTATTACTAAACTGCTGCTGCAGTTGCTGCTTCTAATGGAGTTGCTGCCGCTGCTGTTACTTGCTAATCTTGTCCAAGTGGAAGTACCTCTGCTGCTGGTGTTGCATAATAAGCAAGCGATTGTTAATCTAATTAAACTACAAGCTCAAAATTATTATTGGCATAATTGTCTATTTTAATGTTAGCAATATTTGCTTGATAAAAAATTTTTCTTACTAACTAAAAAAAATATAAATAAATATTGAGATATTAAATTTGAATTAATTAACATGATTGTAATTTATTTATTTATTTATTTTTAATATTTTGTGTTGTGTTAATTTGATTGGATTCTTTAAAATAAATATTTGTTTTGATCTTCCTAAAAAATTTATTCGTGTTAAATAATCTTAAATGAAATATTTCATTATTTTAATGATAGCTAAATAAATTTTTCTAAATATTTAATGTCTTATCTAAAATTTTAAGTATAAAAAGTATATTTTTTACACATTTTTAAATAATATTAGATAATGAGAGGATTTTAATATATATGGAGAAAAAAAATGAGGATTTAAAAAGGACTCTATTTTTTAATGTCTGAGATAATCAGACTAAACATATATTTTCTTCAATAAAAGATAATAAATAAATATTAATTACATTTTTTCACTAGGATCATTCCTTACTATTTGCTATTCTTTGATTATCAGGTTAAATTTTCATAGTATGAAAAAAAATTATTTTGAGTAGAAAATTTATTAACTTTAAAATTCTTAAATCAGGTAATAATTTAAATTGATATTTTATTTTAGAATAGAAAAGTTTAAAATTTAAATTTTCTTTATATTTTTAACCTGAATTTATTTGATATATTTTAATTACTGTTTTTTTTTTTATAAATTTTTCATGTAAGAATTTATCAAATTTTCTTTTTACTTCTGTTAATTAATAGTTATTATTATTTTTAAAAAATTCTGGCTAAAATAAAAGTTATTTATTACCACAGTTAGTTAGATTTTCCATCTATTTTAATTTATTTTTATTAAAAAGATTTAATCTTAATTATTCTTTGAAAATTCAGGCAGATTTTGTTCTCGCTTGTCGCAATATTTATTTAAATATTAAGAGATAGCAAAGAAAAAGATTATAATTTGTATAATTCATCAGAAATACAATCTAATCAAAAAAAATAATAATTTTAAATCAAACACTTTTATAAACTCAATTAACAATTTAAAATGAATAAAACTTTATTATTACTTGCTTTTGTATTATTTGCATCTTATGCAAATGCTTAATGTGCTACAAACGCTCAAGGAAATGTGGGTTCTTGCATGTGCAATCAAGGATATTATGGTGTTAATGCTGAAAATGGAGGTACTTGTAATTAATGTCCAGCTGGATCTACTACCGCATCTCCTTCTTTATCAGCTGGTGGTAATACAAATGCTAGTGCTGATCTAAGTGTCTGCAATTAATGTTAAGCTAACTACTATATGACCGCTGCAGCTGCTGCCGCTTCTAATGGTAATGCTGCTACTGCTGCTTAATGCTCTAATTGCCCTACTGGAACTGGAAACAACGGAGTCTCAAGCTAAGGTGATGTTTCTTAATGCAATATCTGCTAAGCTAATTATTACTAAAGTGCTGCTGCAGTTGCTGCTTCTAATGGAGTTACTGCCTCTGCTGTTACTTGCTAATCCTGTCCTAATGGAAGTACTTCTGCTGCTGGAGCTGCTCAATAAGCTAGTGATTGTTAGTCTAATTAAACCACAAACTCCAAAACTCTTTTAGTCTCTTTGTCTATTTTACTTTTTTCAATTTTTATGTGAAATAATTAAGAAATATCTTTAAGAATCTATCTATATCAATAAATAAAAGTAATATTGCTTGAGATGTAAACATGCTCTTTAACACTAAGTTTTTTAAATAAAAAATTAAGTTTTATGTAACATATCTCTTTATATATGTATGATTCAAAATGTACTTTATTCCATTAACTATGTCTTTATAAAATATTTGAAAACTCAAACCTTTATCAATTTTTATATTAATAAGTAAAAATAAATTTTTATGTGCAACTTGACAAAATTTTGAATATTTGAATAAATATTTTTATTATTAGTAAATTTTTTTGATTTAGAATAAACTTTTTTAAATTAATAAGGTGAAATTAAATTTAAAGTAATTAAATAAACTATAAATTTATATAGCAATTTTGTGATATTTTTTAGAGAAAGTATTCACAAAGATTAAAAATAAAAGATTCACTCTTTCATTTTTGAAATTTAACATAAAATTTAAAAATATTTTTCTTCTCCAATAATTTATTAAGTATGTTTTAAATTTATTATATTTTCAAGTTATTTTATTTAATTTTTTTAAATAAAGTCTATAAATAGACTTAAAATGGATGAGATAATATTATTATTTGTACATATTCCTAATTACATCTCAATTCCAATTTACTTTTAAAAAATATATTAACCCTTAAGAATTTTATGATACCAAATATTAAAAGAGGTTTTTTTTTGAAAATATATGTTATCAGAATTGAAGAGAATAAAGATAAATAGATGCTTTTTATTTTTTCCAACAATTAATTCGTTAAATTTCTTTTTCTTTTTATTAAAATTTCAGGTCTAATTTCAATTAATTTATAGCAAGAGTTATTATTTCTTCTACTTTAATTTATTCAATATTTTTTAAGTAAATTTCTTTGACTAAATTCAGGCTTTTACAAAAGTCTAAAATTTGATTTAAATATTGGCTAAAGACAGTAATAATTTTTTATAATTTATCAGAAATCAAAAATTAAATAAATTAATCAATCAATCAAAAACTCAATCAAAATGAATAAATAAACTCTTCTTATTGCCTTTTTAGTTTTTGCTGCTTATGCAAACGCTTAATGTGCTTCTAATGCTCAAGGAAATGTAGGTGCTTGTATGTGCAATCAAGGATATTATGGTGTTAATGCTGAAAATGGAGGTACTTGTAATTAATGTCCAGCTGGATCTACTACTGCATCTCCTTCATTATCAGCTGGTGGTAATACAAATGGTAGTGCTGATCTAAGTGTCTGCAACTAATGTTAAGCTAACTACTACATGAATGCTGCAGCTGCTGCCGCTTCTAATGGTAATGCTGCCACTGCCGCTTAATGCTCTAACTGCCCCACTGGAACAGGAAACAACGGAGTATAAAGCTAAGGTGATGTTTCTTAATGCAATATCTGCTAAGCTAATTATTACTAAACTGCTGCTGCCGTTGCTGCTTCTAATGGAGTTACTGCCGCTGCTGTTACTTGCTAATCTTGTCCTAGTGGAAGTACTTCTGCTGCTGGCGCTGCTCAATAAGCAAGTGATTGCTAATAAAGCTCAACAACAAACTCAAAAATCCTTTTTGCATCTCTATGTATTTTAGTCTTATCTTTATCCATTTGAATCATAAATATATTGATTTATTTATTTACTTATAAAGTTTAAAACCTAAATAATTTTTTAAACAATTGTATTAAAATGATTAAATATATTGGCATGTTTCTTACTAATTTGTATGAATTTTAACTTAACTTAAAAATATTAAATAAATAATAGTTGATTGATTTAATTAAAATAAAATTTCATTTTATTATTTCAAATTTTTAATATAAATATACCTTAAAGTTAAATAAATAAATAAGTAAATTGATTGTATTTTTAGTGAGTTAAAAAATATAATAATAAAAATTTTAATGAAGCAATAAAATACTGAGCTATTCGGACATTCATTATTTTAATAGTTTCTGAATTTATAAAATTTATAATAAATCTTTATCAAATTTATAAATAAACAATTTAATTTATTTCATTCTTTTTAAAAATGATGATATAAAGATAAATTACTTTTATTTTTATTAGAAATATTAATTATGTAATTAAGTAATGCAATTTTTATAAAGTATTTTGTTTGTTTATTAAATAATAATATGTATGTATTAAATTAGATTAATTTAAAAAACAAGGTTTATTCTTAAAATTAAAATTATAAAGATATATTTTTTCAAAACTTAACAAAATATTATTTAAATAAAAAAATATTTTAAATTTTAAGAAATTATTTTTTACAAAGCTATATATATTCCGTTTTAGATCTAATCAAATTCCCCGAATGTATAATATTTATTTTCACCTTAAGATGTTAATTTGAATATTCTTCTAATTAATTTAATTTATTTTTGGTAGAGTTGTCTATCATAATTTAAAAGTAATTAGTATTTGTAATCTTTACCTTTAAAGATAATAGGAGTTTTGAAAGAAAGTGATGAGTTAGTTATTTTGCTCAATTTCAACAAAATATAGATGATTTTCAAATTAAAATTCATTTAAATATTTGTTTTTTTGTACATATAAGATAAAAAATAAATTACTCTAATAAAAATCAAAAAACAAACTAAAAACTAAGAGCAAATGCTAACTTAAAAAGGTTTTTTCTTTCTAAAAGCAATGAAAAAGTGTAAATATTATATATAGCCTTTGTACTATTATTTGTAGATATGAAATTTTTTCTAAAATACACACTTACTATTTAATTAAGAAATGATTGAAATCGAATCTATTCTTTTTATTTTAATCTAAGGTTATTTGACTTTTTCAAATAAAATTAAGTTATCAGTTAATTAATTTCAAATTAAGAATTCTTCTTTAATTTCATCTAAATGTTCTTCTATTTTAATTTTTTAGATAACTTTGATTTCACGTTAATTTTAAATTTAAAATTTGAAATAGAAACTAAATCCTTACATTTTAATTTATATTTTTTTTAATTCTGGCTATTTTTTAATATTGTAAAAAAACTCTTACTCAATTTAAATTCTTTCTAAATTTTAGCTGCAAAAATTTATAACAAAATAATAATAAAAACAATTCTTAACAAACAAACATAATAGCTTCTACATAAATCAAAATACATTTATTCATTCATTCAACTTAAGAAATGAACAAATAACTATTATTACTTGCTTTTGTATTATTTGCATCTTATGCAAATGCTTAATGTACTACTAACGCTCAAGGTAATGTGGGTTCTTGCATGTGCAATCAAGGATATTATGGTGTTAATGCTGAAAATGGAGGTACTTGTAATTAATGTCCAGCTGGATCTACTACCGCATCTCCTTCTTTATCAGCTGGTGGTAACACAAACGCTAGTGCTGATTTAAGTGTCTGCAACTAATGTTAAGCTAACTACTACATGACTGCTGCAGCTGCTGCCGCTTCTAATGGTAACGCTGCCACTGCCGCTTAATGCTCTAACTGCCCCACTGGAACAGGAAACAACGGAGTATAAAGCTAAGGTGATGTTTCTTAATGCAATATCTGCTAAGCTAATTATTACTAAAGTGCTGCTGCAGTTGCTGCTTCTAATGGAGTTACTGCCGCTGCTGTTACTTGCTAATCTTGCCCTAATGGCAGTACTTCTGCTGCTGGCGCTGCTCAATAAGCAAGTGATTGCTAATAAAGCTCAACAACAAACTCAAAAATCCTTTTTGCATCTCTATGTATTTTAGTCTTATCTTTATCCATTTGAATCATAAATAATTTATTTACTAATAAAGTTTAAAACTAAATAATTTTTTAAACAAATGTATTAAAATGATTAAATCTACTGGCATGTTAGTTATTAATTTGTATGAATTTTAAATTAACTTAAAAATATTAAATAAATAGTTGATTGACTTGATATTTAAAAAATAAAATTTAATTTAATTTCTTGAGTATATTGATTTTATTTTTTAATGATAAGAAGTGTTTATTATGTAATTAAATAATATTCTTTTGAAATTTTTACAAAGTATTTTAATGTAAAAGTGTTGTTGGTTATTTAATAAAATATGTATGAAATCAGATTAAGTTAAAGAATAAGGTTAATTCTTAAAGCTAAAATTGAATATATATTTAAAAATTTAATGAAATATTATTTTACTTATAAAATATTTTAAATTAAAAGAAATTATTTAAAACAAAGTTACAAACCATATTCAGATCTAATCAAATTCCTCAAATTTTATTGATTTCCTTTGACCTTAAGATGTTAACTTGAATATTCTTCTAATTAATTTAATTTAATTTATTTTTGGTAAAGTTGTCTATTTTAATTTAAAAGTAAACAGTATTTGTAATATTTACCTTCAAATATGATAGAGGATTTGAAAGATAGGAATGAGTTATTTTACTCAAACCAATTTCAAATAAAAATAGAAGATTTTTAAATTAAAAATTCATTTAAATATTTGTTTATTCATATTTCAATTTTTAATAAAAAATATGTAACTCTCAGAAAAACCAAAAAACTCTAAATTAAAAAGAAATACTAGTTCAAAAAGATTAATTTTACTTAATGGCCAAAACTTAAATAGTAATAGATAGATTTTGTAATATTTGAAGCTTTTATTAAATCTTTCTTAAATTAACGCTTACTGATTAATTTAATGTTTGATTGATTGAAACTGAATCTATTTTTTTATTTTAATCTTAGGTTATTTATTTATCTATATCAAATAAAATTAAGTAATCAATTAATTAATTTCAAGTTAAGAATTCACCTTTAATTACATCTAAATAAAAGTGGTTCTATTTTAATTAATTTCACGTTAATTTTAAATTTACGTTTCAAAATAGAAACTAATTTCTTACATTTTAATTTATATTTTTTTAATTTCTGGTTATTTTTTCATATTGTAAAAAAACTTCATACTAATTTAAATACTTTCTTCATTTTTAGCTGAATTTATAAAAAAATAATAATAAAAACAATTCTAATCAATCAATCAAACAAACAAACATAATAACTTTAACACCAATCAAATACATTTATTCATTCATCTTAATAAATGAACAAGTCAATATTATTACTTGCTTTTGTATTATTTGCATCATATGCAAATGCTTAATGTGCTACTAATGCTCAAGGAAATGTAGGTTCTTGCATGTGCAATCAAGGATATTATGGTATTAATGCTGAAACTGGAGGTACTTGTAATTAGTGTCCTTCAGGAACTACAACTGCTTCTCCTTCTTTATCTGCTGGAGGTAATACAAATGCTAGTGCTGATTTAAGTGTTTGTAATTAATGTTAAGCTAACTACTACATGACTGCTGCAGCTGCTGCCGCTTCTAATGGTAATGCTGCCTCAGCTGCATCGTGCTCTAGCTGCCCTACTGGAACAGGAAACAATGGAGTACAAAACTAAGGTGATGTTTCTTAATGCAATATCTGCTAAGCTAATTATTACTAAACTGCTGCTGCAGTTGCTGCTTCTAATGGAGTTACTGCTGCTGCTGTTACTTGCTAATCTTGTCCTAATGGAGGCACTTCTGTTGCTGGTGCTGCTCAATAAGCAAGTGATTGCTAATAAAATTAAACCACTAACTCAAAAATCTTATTTGCCTCTTTGTCTATTTTAATAGTGTTAATATTTGCTTGAACTAAAAAATCTTTTTTAGATTCAATAATAAATGTTCTCAATACAATAAAAATTTATACAAATAATTAATATGCTAAATTAAATTAAATTAAGATAATAAATATTGTTGAGTTTGTTTGTATTTTATAAGTTCATCCAATATTTTAATTTCCTTGCAAAAATATTATTACATAAAGTATTGCTATTCTCTGATAATTATTTCTGTAGTAGGAAATTAATAAATATTTAGTAGATCATTTTAAAAGTTAAATTATTAAATTAAAAAATGTTTAAAGGTTCTTTTTTTATATGAAATACTATATATATATATCATATATAAATAATAAAAATAAATCAATTTTATATTTATAAAAATCAATTATATAACAAAGTAGAAAGAATTGGCTTTAGTAAAGAAATTTTCTATTAATAATTACATCCTTAAGTAAAAAATATTGAAGCCTTATCTAAGAGATTTATGTAATTAAAATAATCTACTTGAGAGCGAGTATATTTAAGAACTAAATTAAATGTTTATTAAAATCTAATTAATACATTATTTATTATATTGTTTGATATTAAAAAGTATATTAATTTTAGTAAATGCTTTGGATATTTTTGTGTGTAGGACTGACGGATGGACAAATTTGATTGCCAAAGAGGAATGGATAAACATAAACAGATTTTATTCTATTTTAAGAATAGATTCTCTTACTTTACTGATGTAATTATTTATGCTTTTATTTATGTTATTATACAAACATCAAATAATATTTTAGGTTTTAAAATATGACTTAAAAATCTGTTTTTTAAATAACATTTTTATGAAAAATTTTGGATTTTACTTAAATTTATCTTTAATTGTAAATAAATAAATAAACTATATAAAAGCTATTTACTTTAAAATTTATCAAACAAACAAGTATTTAACAAACAAAGCAATATTATTTATTTTTACTTTTTATTTATCACAAAGTAATTAATTTTAAAAACTTTTTAAAGTTTTATGTGTCAGAAACGAGTATTAATTTTAACTAGTCTATTTAGCTTTAAAAATTTATTTTTCAATTTAATTCTATCCTCTCTTTTGATCAAATTAGTACTTTGATTAAATTATATTTAAGATAAGATAATATTTTAAGAATATAAAAATAAATTAAATAACCAACCAACCAAACTATTTAAAAAAACAACTTTAAAATTTAATATTTAATCGGTAATTTTATCATTAAGCAATTTATTTAATTTTTATACAAAAAGTGATGAAAAGAAAAACAGTATTTTACTTGAGTTCAAGAGTTAAAGATGAAAGTTAATAGATTTTTGCTAAAGATTAACTTAGATTTTGTACTCCCTTATATCCAATTTTATTAATACTTTAATAAAAAATATTTCATTTAATATGTTAATTTAAAAAAATATTATTTATTTTTAATTTTTTAGGAAGGGTGGGGGAAGCAAAAGGATATTTCTTTCAATATTCAAAATTATAGGAAATTATAATTTATACTTTAAAACCTAATATTGATAATCCTCCTCCCCTCCAATCCCTCCCTTTGTTAATAAAAAGAAAAAAATTTTTTAAACTTAAAGGAATAAATGAATAAAAAGTAATTGTTTTTATTCAAGATTATTGAAAATTTTTTTCTTAGATTTAAAAAAGCAAACTTCTCATCTTATACTCCAAAAAACAAAAACCAATAATCAATCAATCATACGCAAACAGACAATTTAAAGATTTTAAATTAGAGCAGTTTGATAGAGCAGAGCCTATATTTGAAATACCTTCATCAGAAATTTCATTTTCTCTTATTTTAAGTAAAAAATAATTATTTATTTATTTATTTATTTATTTATTTAAATTTAAATTGTAAAAGTCTTTTTTTATATAGAGGCTTAGCATGTTGTATGAACTACTTAATTTAAGAATTTATTTCTTACCTTATCTCAAGTTTCAAAGATGAAAGATTATTAAGTCCACTTAATGCAGAACTTAAAACCAAAGCTCCCTTGTCACCAAAAAAATTACTTCTTTTAAAAATATCAATATTATTATTATAATTATAATTAAAAGATTGAAAAAAATAAAAAATATTGAATAAAAGCTATTATTAAAGTTAAACCCTAATAAAAGAGTCAAATATTTGAGTTAAGAGCAATTTGATAAAGGACCAATTATATCTGATATACACTATGATAAAAGACCACATTCCCTATAAATTTATTAAAAAATAAGAGTTGCTAGTTTATTGTAAATCATTAAATAAAGACAATTTTGTGATTATAAAAATTTTAATTTGCATAATATCTTACAAACTTAAAAAAATATGAGAGTAATTAATTCATTATATACCAATTAATTTATTTTGATGAAAATTTATTTATATTTGTATAGATTATTATTTAAAAAAAATCTATCAATCTGTTATTTAAATTAAATATAATATTTTATACCATAACTATAGGTTTAATTTTGAAAGATTAGAGCAACTAGCTAAAGCAGAACTTAAAGCAAGAGCTTCTTATTATTCAATTTTATTATTCCTTTTATCATATTACAAAAATTATATTATTTGCTAAGACAAATTTATTTTCTCAAAATTAATTATATATAATTTGAGATATGGATCAATCAGTAAGTAAATAATTATATATTAATAAAAGATTATTATTTTAATTTAAAATTTGAATTCTAAAAGTTAAATTTGGAAAACATTGATTGATTGATTTTTAATTTCAAATACATATCTTTTTATAATACTAAATAAAGAAAATAAGATATACGAGAGTTGAAGTGATAAATTTGAGATTTTAGCGCATTTTGATAAAGCCTGGCTTAAATCTTAAAAACCTTATGATCCAATTTAAGCATTTCTTTAAATTCAAAGGAAATTTATGTTATGTTGATAGAGTAGATTTTTCAAAATATTTGAGAAAATATAAAAAATAAATTATATTTAAATAATATAAATGAATAAAAAGGTTAATTTTTATTCATAAATAAGGATGATTTAAATAAATTAATAAAATAAAATTTCTTTTACTTTAAATTGATATCAAGATTTTAATGAGAGGATAACTCAGAGTCTAAAAACTTTTTTTATAAAATTGATCTTTAAAAGTTAAATAACAAAAAAAAAAAATTTACTTCTTTTAACACCTTAAATTCTTTTTTCTATTATATCATTTTTTTTTTGTGAAAACAAACAAACAAAGTAAATTAATTTTTTAATAAAAATTTCTTAATTATTTACAATATGGAAAAGTTTTATTATTTAAGCAGTACTCAATAACAAATACAAAATCAAAATTAAGATAAAGCAATTTAATTTTGTATCTAAAAAATAAAAAGTGGCTAATTAATACAAATTTTGATTATTTATAATTTATTATCTTTTCACAATTTAATTTGTATCTAAAAAATAAAAAGTGGCTAATTAATACAAATTTTGATTATTTATAATTTATTATCTTTTCATAACAAATGAAAAATAATTACAAGATAAAGAATTTATTTTATTATTACTAAAAAAAAAGTGTATCAAAGCAAAGATAAAATAAAAGTAAATATTATTAAAATATATATTAAAACCAAAATTTATATTTTGCTTAAATTTTTAAGCAGTAGCAATTAAATTTCATTTTTTGAAATTTTAGAAAGTTGTAAATATTTTCCAAATTTTCCTTAATTTAATATATATTTATGGCTCATAAACTGATTGGTATATTTTATATAAAACACTGTATAAAATTTCAAAAATATAAATAAACAAATATGATTAAAATAAATTATTATGTTAATTATTTAATTATTTATTTATTTTTATAGACAAAACATTTTAATAAATAAATTAAGTCCTTTTATTATTAATATTTTTTTAAATTTATTTATTTATCTAATTAAATTCAATTTAATTTAAAATCTGCTTTAACCAAAAACTTCATTTTATGAAATTTTTTTTTTGCTTGTTTTAAAATATTTCCGTGATGCATATTGTTGTTCCTTTTATGTGTGATAAAAAGTGAATAAATTAAACTAATGAAATTTACTTAAATAATTATTTTAATTTTTCATATTTGCAAATAATTTTTAATTAATTAAAACAGTATTTTAAAATTCATAATAAACTAAATATAATTTACTATAAATAAAAGACAAAAGACCTGAGTTAGGAAAGTTTATCACTCATCATGAACATTATTATCCAAAAGTCACTCGTAATATTGTTTTCCCTTTTTTATTTAATATTTTTGTAATTAATTGATTATTAGTTAACTATTAATTACTAAACATCCATTATAATATGCTATATTTACTATAAGCTCCTGAATACCATACAAAATTATTCAAGCCCCATTTCTTTAAATTCATTATTTCTTTTTTATTAAAAGGAATGGTAAATATTTTTAAATAAAATTTATTTGTTATTAGTATCAATCATTAACTCTTAAAAATAAATGTTTTGTATTTATTTTCTTTTAGTTTATTCTAAAATTCATATCAAATTTAATTTTTTCTTACCTTAACTGAAGATTTAAATATCTGAGATTTCTACAATAATAAACTATTTTTGACAAACCATACATTCCTTTATAACCTAGCTAATTGTTGCTATATATATATATATATATATATATTTAATATTTCATAATTAGTTTTAATTAAATTATCAAGCATAAAATTTATTTGGAAAAATCTAGTAAAATTAAATAAAAATGAATGGACTGATAAAATAAATATTTAACTAAGGATTTATATTTATTTTAAATGACAAAAAAGGAAGATTAATTATACTTTAAATTAATTGTCAATTTCTAGAGATTTGGAAAATCTTTGAGTTTTCTTAAAATATCTGAGTTCTCCCCAATAATTTTATTTGAGCTAATAAAATTAATTACAATTAATTAGTAAATAAATATTATGAAATCAAAAGCAAAGCTAAAAAATATAAGATTTATAAATTTTATATCAATCAAGTCATTCAATTATTACCTGAAATCTAAATTTAATGTCTCTAAGTTATTCAAATTTATCAATATTGTATAAAAGGCTAATAAACCTTCATCAGTAATTTTGTTTTAACTATTTCTTTAAAAATAAAATTTAATAAAACATAAAAATAATTCATTAAATTTTTCAATTAATTATCATTATTAAATTAAATGTAGACTAAATTAATTAATTAATTATTTTTACTATTTTGATAAATTTAGTGATAGCTAAGTAAGATTTTAGCAATTTCCTATTTCAGATAATTATGCTACTCCATCATCTCCAATTAAATTTTCACTGTTTGTTTTAAATTTTAAAAAAAATATATTGTTAAAAAATATAATTTAATATTCTAATTAATTTTGTGAACTTTGAAAATTCCATTAATTAATTCCACTTGAAATGCTGATTTGAATATTTGATTATGATGATATCATAATTATGATTACAGTATATACATATATGATTAACTAATTTAAATTTAATTTAAATAATAATTCAATAATTATTAAATTATACCTTAAATCAAGTGTTAACACTTTAAGATTTTTATAAGTTGCTATTTACTTTGCTAAATCTGATAATCTTTAATCCTCTATGTTTTATTTTCTATAATTAAAAATAACTTAAATTTAAAATAATCAACCAAATTATATTTTTTTTAGTAAAGTCTGACTGAGTTCATCAAAAATTATAAAAACAAACATATTATTGTATTAATTCTTTTACGATAGCTTGAATACCAATTCTGTACATTACTAGTTTTTTTATTAAAAAAACGTATTTTTGATAAACGAATTTAACATCTGATAAACTTTTTGTACGTTGCCTTCTTTATTATTTTAATTTTTTTATTACTTATTTTAATTTTAACCCATTTTTTTAATTAAATAGTCTGTCTGTATATCTGTCTAAATTAATTAATTAAGATATTCTTGATTAGTTAATAAATGTTTATTTTGTTTTAGTCTATATTAATTAGATTTTTATTAAATATTTATATTTACAATAAATACATCCATCCATCACATTTATTTTAACAAACAAATACGAAACAAAAAAAATATCATAAAAAGTATTAATATTTAAAATACATATTAATTATTTGCAGTTAGTATGTATTTAAAATAATAGAAATTATAAATATAAAGCTAAAATAATTTTAAAAATAAAATAGTTATCAATTTTAATAAGGAATAAATAAATTACTTTTTAAATTATATTTGCTTTAAGTAAATAAATAAATAAATAGAAATAGCTTTTAATTTGATAAGATTATTTAACAAGAAATATCATTTTTTATTATTTGTTGATTTTTAATAATCACTGTATTTTGTAGTAGTTAGTTAGCTCATGAAGTAAGGTATGAAAGATGCGAAATAAAAAATAAAATAATAATTGTATTCTAAAATTTTAATTATTTTATATTTAATTAGAATAATATATATTATATATTATTTCACTTAATTTTGTTTATTATTTAAAAATATATTATTAAAAAATTAAATACCTAATAAAAGATGATAATAATAATAATAATAATAATCTTATTCTATGAAATACTTCTACCTACCTACCTACTTTACTTTTAAATTAATAATTTTAAATATATTTGAGTATAATCATCTCTTCATTAATTAATTTATTTATTAGCTAATCAAAAATTTAGATAATCTTATTTAATTTAAGCAGCTAAAATCAAACAAAAACTTCTTCTCTTAATTCATTTATCAAAATATGAAATAGTTCCTCTATTTGGTTACTTTTATAATACTATTTTCTCTTTCTAATGCCTAAAATTAAGGTTGTACTCAAAACGCGTTTGGAACACCTGGGAACTGCCTTTGTAATTAAGGATTTTATGGCGCTATTGCAGAAGTTGGTGGATTTTGTAAATAATGTCCAAGTGGGTCTACAACTCCAACTCCTTCTAACTAACCAGATGGAAATTCAAATATTAATACAGCTATGAGCATTTGCAATTAGTGTTAAGTAAATTACTATATGGCAGTAGCAGCTAATCAAACTACTCCATCTCCAGCTTAGTGCTCTCCTTGTCCTGCAGGGACTGGAAACTTATCTGGACCGACCGTTGCAGGAGATATTTCATAATGCAATATATGTTTACCTAATTACTATATGACTGCAATATCTGTTTCTGGGTCTAATGGAGCCACTGCATAGTCAGCTAAATGCTCTCCTTGTCCACCAAATACTGGAAATCTTGATGGCGCTTCAACAGCTGGGGACGTCTCTTAGTGTAATTTATGCTCTTAAAATTATTACATGACTCAAGATGCAATTCCTAGCTCAAGTGGAATAAATCCCTCTGCTGCTTAATGCCTTCCTTGCCCTACTGGTTCAGGAAATACTTAACCTCCTTCAAGCTCAGGTGACATTTCATAGTGCAATGTTTGCTAAAATAACTATTACATGAATTAAGCTGCAGTTACTGCTTCTTCTGGAAGTATTGCTACTGCAGCAGTTTGTACAATTTGCCCTCATGGTTCTGGAAATTCACCTGGGCCTAACTCTCCTGGTGATATTTCTTAATGTAATCAATGTTAAGCTGGTTATTATATGACTCAATTAGCTGCATCAAATGGAGTAAACTCATCGGCTGCATAATGTAGCCCTTGTCCAGCAAATTCAACTAGTTAACCTACTTCTACTATTAATACTATTTCTTCTTGTTAATGTTTTGATCCTAATGCAGCACCTATAAATACAAATCAAACATCCTGTATATGTGCTAATGGATATTTTGGAGTTCCAAATACATCAAGCAATTAAGTTAGTGGTTGTTTTCCTTGTGATATCGATTAATATTCAACTAAGGGAGCATCTTGCACTACATGTGCCATGGGTTCTTTAGTTAACTCAGATTCTGGAGGATGTACTTGCATAGACGTTAGTATAGGAACTCTTCCATGGAGTGCAGATACCAATACTTGTTAATGCAAATAAAATTACTATGGTAGTCCTTCAAGAAGTACAATAGGATAAACAGGTTCTTGTCTCCCATGCCCAAATGGAACAACTTCAGCAGTTGGATCCTAATTAATCACAGATTGCTAAGGTTATGTGGCTACAACTTTTTAAAAAATTATTACAGTTTCCATACTATTTATCTTCTTGATGGGAGTTGTTTTTTGAACCATATTTTATTAATAATGTAATTAATAATATCAAATTAAAAGGTTTTAAGAATTTAGATAATTTTTTTTAAATTAAAATTGTTAAATACTGCATAAAATAAATTACTTTTTATATGTAAATTAGAAAAAAATTTAATAAACCAAATAATTAATTTAATTATTTATTTTTATTATAATATATTTTTTGTAAAATTTTAGTAAAAATTAAATATTTTTTCTATCCCTATTTAAAGTGTTAATGATATTTTAAAATGCAATAATTATATATTTTTACTTATAGTTTCTAATAATTAGAAAGCACTTCAATCATTTTTATACTTTACCAATTATTTTATGCTTACTTTTTTAAAAATAACGAATTGAAATTTAAATCCTGTAATCTATAAATTTTCTAGAAAAAAGAATCAACATACTTAATAATGAAGATAATTAAAATCAGCAAAAAAAAGATAATAACACAGTTTTTAAATTTAATATTATTATTTAAAGAATTCCAAGGCAAATTTATTTTTCGTTATAAAGTTGCTTGTTTGTTTGTTTGTTTGTTTGTTTGTTTGTTTGTTTGTTTGTTTGTTTGTTTATTGAGAAACTTAAAAGAAATTTGAATAAATCAAATACTAAATTAGAAATTAGCTTTTTATTTATTTATTTATTTACTATTATTTTATTGAGTTTGTTTTAAGAAACAGATAAATAATTAAATTAATTGATTGATTGATTATGAAGGCTTATTTGAGTTTAGTAGTTTTTTTGCAATTAATATGCTATGTAATTTCATAATGTGCCCAAAATGCTTAAGGAACAGCAGGAAATTGCTTATGTATGCAAGGATATTATGGAACTAATGCAGAAATTGGGGGGCAATGTAATTAATGCCCATCTGGGACTAATACTACTGCACCATCTAATTCTGTGTAGGGAAATACAAATTCATAAGCAAATGTCAGTGTATGCAATTAATGCTCATTGAATTTCTATATGAATACTGCTGCGAATCCCTCTAATCCTATTTCTTCTGCTTAGTGCACTGCTTGTCCTTAAGGTTCAGGTACTTAAATCGCTTCTATAACTCCAACTGATGTTTCTTTTTGCAATGTATGTGTTGCTAATTATTATATGACAGTTGCTGCTTTTAGTCCTATTCCTGGAGTCAAAGCTTATCCAGCTATTTGTATGCCTTGCCCAGCAAACTCATCTTGTCCAGTACAGACAAAAATAGGAACTCTTGTAAATTGTACTTGTTATGATGAAAATGCTCTTCCATTTTCAACTAGTTAAGTAACATGTACATGTTTAAATGGTTATTATGGTAATGTTTCGAGTCTTTTAGGAGGACCATCTGGTTGTACTCGTTGTCCTTAAGGTATGTTTTCGATAGGAGGGACCCCATGTTAAAACTGTCCTCCTGGATCTTAAATCTTAAATGATTTTAGTGGCTGTACCTGCTTCGATAATAGCACAGGAACACTTCCTTGGAGTTTTAATACTAATTAATGTTAATGTAGTGCAGGCTATTATGGAGACCCTTCAACAGCCACATCTGGAACAACAGGCTCTTGTACTCCTTGTCCTAGTGGATACACTTCTATAACAGGAGTAGCCCGTCAATAAAGTGATTGCTTTTTATCTGGTATGACTTTTGGAGTAGTAATAAGATTTTATGTTGCTATCTCAATTTGCATTTTAATTCTACTTTGATTCTATCTAAATGAATTAATTAATTAAGTAAGTAAATAAATCATTAATGTTTTCGATATGAATTTTTTAATTAATATTAAAATTAATAGATCATATTTATAATTTAATTGAAATATTAATTATATTATATTTATATTAAAGCTGTTTGTATTTTTATCATATTTGAAATAAATTTAAGTTTTACTTTATTGGGTTTAGCTCTCTCTTTTATACAATTTTCTAAAAATAAAATTGAAATACCATAATTTCTATAAAATCAATATTAATATAAATATTAAAGACCAAAAATAAATTAATTTAAATAAAAATAAAAAATTATTTTTACTTTTGAATTTTACACCAAAATAGATTTTTTAAGGTAGTATATTTAAAATTAACTCTTAATTAATTAAAAATATTTAAAATGTTTTCAATGGCAATTTATTAATTTAAAACTTAAAATTTTTAGAAAATGAAAAGTTTTCCTAAATTAAAAGATATTTTACTATCAATTTTTAGTATGAAAGAGATTTCCTGAGTAAAAATTAATGTCATGAATTAGAGTAAATAATAAGCGTTTTGATGGCTTATCAATTTTAACATTTTGGTGGCATCCCTAACTTTTCAAAACTTAATAAAAGCAATCATAAATTCATAAAAATCCTTAAATTTATTTTAATATCTTAATTTATTAGAATTTTATTTATACTAGTTTTTAGATTAATAAATTGAATTTAATATTCACAAGAAAGTGTTTAGTTTGCTTGGAAAAAATAAGATACAAAAAATATCAATTCAAATAATATTTGATTACTGTTTAGTTCCAACCCAACCCGAGTCTAGTCTAAGGAGTTAAAGTGAAATTTACATTGATTTTATTTTTTATTGAAAACTTTATTCATCTGTCCATCTATACATCCATACATAGAAATGAGAATACCTTCAAAATTAAAAAATTTCTGTTTGAGTTGCCTTAAATGTTAAAAAATTTCAAATTTGGTTAATAAATCAATAAAAAGAAAGAAAAAGTAAATTAAGAAATTTATTTAAGTTTGTCTGAGTAAAGGCGTAATTAATTGTAGTTAATTAATTAATTATCTAAAATGAAAGCATATTTAGTTTTGATAGTATTTTTACAATTAATTTGCTTAGTAATTTCACAGTGTGCATAAAATGCTTAAGGAATGCCAGGTAGCTGTTTATGCATGCAAGGATATTACGGTACTAATGCAGAGGTAGGTGGATCATGTATTTAATGTCCTTCTGGAACCAATACAGCTATACCCTCTAGTTAAGCAAATGGAAATACTAGTCCTTTAGTAAATATAAGTGTATGCAATTAATGCTCCTTGAATTTCTACATGAATACTGCTGCTAAAACATCTTAGCCTATTAGCTCTGCTTAGTGTACTCCATGTCCCACAGGTTCAGGTACTTAAATTGCATCTACAGTTCCGACTGATGTTTCTTTTTGTAGTATTTGTATTCCTAATTATTACATGTCACTTGCAGCATTTATACCAACAGCAGGTATTCAGGCATATGCCGCAGTTTGCATTGCTTGCCCTGCTAATTCTTTTAGTCCTTTATAAAGTTAAGTAGGAGCTATTACAAATTGCACATGCTTTGATAGCAACGCTCTCAAATTATCAGTTAATTAGCTAACATGTACTTGCTAAGCTGGCTATTAAGGAAATGTTTCAACTGTTCAAGGAATTCCTTCTGGCTGTACACAATGTACCTAAGGAATGTTTTCTATAGGAGGAATTCCATGCTAAAATTGTCCTCCTGGATCGTAAATTTTAAATGATTTAAGTGGCTGTTCCTGCTATGATGATAGTGATGGAACAAAACCTTGGAATGTTTATATCAATTCTTGTTAATGCAAGGCAGGCTATTATGGAGATCCTTCTAAAGCTACGTCTGGAACAACAGGTTCATGTAGCCCTTGTCCTAAAGGACAAACTTCAATAGAAGGAGTAGCATTATAAGAAAGTGATTGCTTTTACCTTGGAAATACTTTTAAAACATTTATAAGATTCTAAATCTTGATTTTTTTGTTATTATTATTTCTACTTTGAATGCCAAAGAATTTCAATCCTAGCACTTAACTCTCTATTTTAAAAGCTAATTTAATTCATTATTTATTACAAATTTCTTAATGTTTTTTAAATAATTTTTGTTTATATTCATTATACTTTTATTCTTATTTTTCAATTATTTTATATTAACAATAAAAACTAATTCATTGATTAGGCATCATATTTAATTAATTTATTTATTACTTTTAAACAAACATTTTTATGTTATTAATATAAAAATATGAATTACTTTTATCAATATTAAAATTAATGTTTTTTTGTTATCAAAAAGTATTATTATATATCACGAATAAACACACAAATTTTGTAAATTTTTTACATAAAAAGAGTAAATTAAATTCTAAAAAAATGGTAATCCAATTTTTAAAGGATTATCTAATTATTATTTTATATTTTTTTGGCTTAATTATTTTTTAACATTTTACCACCAAATAAATAAATAAAATTTTGTTATTATTATTTAAAATTTTTATTTTTTTTTATTTAGTTGACAATTTTATTTTTATTAGGTAAACCTTTTAATTCTATTTTAACTATATATTCAATGTCTTCTATGATGATAAGCATCAAAAAAATTTATAAAATACATTAGTGATGTAAAAAGAAAATTAAAGATTAAAATATAAATACAACAAAAGGTATAATAAATAAGCAATAACTTTTATTAGTGTCTCAAAAAAAGACTTTGGTATTTATAATTTCGTCCATTGGAATAATTATACTATTACTTTAATAGTGACTTTTGTTGTTGGAGTGTTAATTAATTAATATAAGTAATAAATAGGCTATTCAATAATAATTATTAGTCTTACTTGATATTAACTAAAAAAGTGTAGATATATTTTTGATTATTTTGTATCTATTTTTTCTTATCATAGTTAATTCCTGATTAAGTGTAAGAGATGAGATATGCTTTTATGCCAAGGTTTAAACTAATATAGGAGTTATATTTTTTTCTATTTCTGGAAAAGGGATTTATTACAAGTTAAAAATAAAAATGCTCAAGGTTTTTAACTATTAAAGATTGTTAAAGCTTTTAAAAAATTTACTCAAGGCAGAAGAACTGAATTGATGCTTAGATTTATCTAGATGCAGATATAATTGATTTAAGTTAACAAAATTTGGAAGTGCTTCTGAAAGTAATAAAAGTGACTCTTCTTATAAGAAATTTTACTCTTAAATTGATAAAGTAAGTTTCTACAATTTTTTAAGGTACATAGAATAGAAGCTAAAGTTCTTAATTAAATAATCACTTAAAGAAAACTGAGAATCTTATAGGTGTTATTTTTCTTTAATAACTAATCTAAAATGATTTAATTATTTTATAGTTTTTAAGCTATCAGTTAAAATATGCTAATCATCTTAATACAATTTAATACTAGAAGAACACTGAATATCAAAGTTGAAATAAACTATATTATTTTGAGAAATTAAAATATTATTCAATTAATTTAAATTTATAAGAAGCGTTTCCTGATTTTTTTCTTCAATTTTGAGTTGCAGAGAGAGTTTATTAAGGTTTTTTATTTTAGGTAAATAAACCTACATTCCTTCTAATTGATTAATAGCAAGAACTAAAAATCTAAGATTTTCTAAAAACTGCAAGCAAAGTCCAAACTCAATTAATAAATTTGTGTCATTTTCATCCAAGTCGAGAGAAAGACAAATGAGTTACTTCATTGCTATTAATGATTCTCCTAATTTTTTATATTGCAATGAATTTAAATGCGATTCACAAATCTTTAGATGAAGATACTCTAGTTAATTTAACTAAGACAGTCCTTGACTTAATCCTAAAATACCATTTTCACTAAATTTACTTAAGTGTAAATTTAACTTTGATATGTTGTTGCTTTAGTATTGTCTCTCGAATAATATTTTCTCAACATTACAAAATTAAACTCCATCTTCATCAAGCTTGTTTAAAAATTACAATAAACCTATAAAAGTTATCTGAAACGGATTATTCAACTAAATAAAAAGTTGCTTTAGTTTTTTTAGTTTCTATAATCCTTCGTAAATGCATTAAACAGAGTTGTTATCAATTTTTATAGATTCATCTACTGTAAATGAAATCCTGTAGAGCTTTTTTAAGAATCCTAAGCAAATGCTAAAATTAAAAGCTGTAATTTAACTAAAACTGTTATTCTAAGAAACATTAATTTCTAGATCTCTTAATTTAGATAGATTTTAGATACTTCCAAAAAGCAAAATGTAATCTTGATCTTAAATATTGCCATTTTGCCCTATATTTATTTCTAAAGTTTCTAAATTACTTAATTGAGGAATAATTCTACTTAAAGAATTCAAAGAATTAGAATTTAAACAATTTAATTCAATATTTATTATCAAATATTTAAGTGATTCTATTTTATTAAAGAGACTCAACTAGGAATTATAATTTTACAACAAATTTTATTATGATTAATTACTTTCATAATTTTGAATATAAATTTAAAAAGATTTCACATTTTAAATATAATTCAAAATGCTATAAATACAGTCGATTTGGTCTTATTTGAATATTTCTTATTTTAGAGAAAAAGAAAATTATTCTACAGCTTACAATTCTTAAAGGTTTTAAGCAAAAATTTTAATAGAGTTTGAATCAATGTGAGATTCTATGCTTTAAATCTGGATAGTTAATAAAGTTAATCTAAAATACTTTGAAATTGCTTTGCCTAACTAAATTAAGCCTTCTGAGGAGATCACGCAATACTCTGTAAATTCTAATCTGAGTTTTTCCATGAAAAATAGATTTTCAAATTAGTTATAAAATTACTGATTAATATGCATTTTAAACTTTAAGCTTAAGGTGAGTTTTTTCATGTTTAGCTATCCACTAATCCAAAAAATGATCTACTTAAAATGAGATTCATTTACAGATGAGTCTTCAATAGAAGATAAAGTTAATTCTTACAAAGTCTTAATTTGAGTGATAGAATTGATGAACTGTGAAAGATATGCTTCTTACATATCTAAAATATCTATTTGCATACGTTTAATTTCTTTTAATCTACTTAGAAACTCCATAATATTCAAAAAGTTATTAGTGTTCTGTTGACCTATAATTTATAGGAGTGATAAAGAAATACCTTCAACATCAGATAAGTAAACACTATTAAAATAATTTAACTGGTAGTTTAATTTTAGAAGATAAAAATCTTTCTTATACAAAGAAAGTTATATTTTACTGATATCTATTTCATTAGATATTTATTTTCTTTCCTTTAACTATTTTTCAATTATTTCATTTTCTTGTGAAATTTATGATTCGAGCTCATTGCTTCCAAAAGAATATTTTCGTAAAAAAGAAACTTTAGCCTAGTGCTATCCCATTTTGATATGTATGAGCTAATAATCAATTTAACTTAAATTTTTATAATGAACTCTTTTTATTTTTCTTTTTTTTTTTTAAATAATATTTGTCTTCAATAGAAAAATTTAATCAAAATTTTTCAAAAGAAAATTTAAAAATGCCTAAAAAATTTAAATATACCTTAATTCCCAATAAATAAATAAATAAATAAATAAATACATAATACAAAAAGTTTTAATCCTTTTGGATAATTTATCTTTCTATTAATTTCAAAAAAATATTTACAAAATTTACAAAATAAATATGGAAAAAACATGTATTTATAAAATATTTGTTTCATTCATAAATAAAATATTTTTTTTGAAAATTAAATATTAAAAAAAAATAAATTTATCGCAGTTTAGTTGTAATTATATTCTTTGTGTTAAAATATTTATATTTTTTTAGCTAAATTTACTTTATTAGTAAAAAAACTTATTTTAAATAAATATAGTTTAGAATATATAATAAAACAGAAAATACTTTCAAATAAAATAGATTAAGCATCATTATTCAAGAGAAATTTATTATACAAATATCAACTTTTATCTTAGAAATAGGTAATATTCTTTTATCCCTCTTAAAATTCTTGATTTATTTATTCTTTATCAATATCATCACTATCTTCTATTTTATCATTTATTTCTCCTTAAATATTTTAATTTATGTTTTATCCTTGGTCTGAGTTTTAAGGTGAAGAATTTTAATCATGCTCATTTACTTAAATATCTTATTGGTTAGGTGAACTTTAGATTTTAAACTTGCTTTTAGTTTAAATGAGGTTTTATTTTTATGAATAACAGATCAGCTTTCTGGAAGTGGTGTTTTAAGGTAAAGTCATGAAGTCATCTTTTGTATCTAATAAGAATTTATATTAAATAAATAAATAATTATGGCATTATTTTTTAATTAATATTTTTATAAAATGAATAATTAATTACCTATCTTCATTATATCAGTCTCAAATGTTATCTTATTATGATATAAATTTAGCTATTCTACTGTATCTTAATATTTATTATAAGGTGAATCTAATACAATTGAGACATTTTACTCTTCATGTTTACTTTCTTCCTCTCTCTTTTTAAAAAAGCTTATATTTTATATTTATAAATCTTCTTTCTACTTTTTTTATTGTTCCATTTTTTACAAATCATTAATTATTTAGTTGTTGTTTTATTCTTCAAAAATATGCCTATATGATTCACCTAATTTCATTTAAAAATCATATTAATTACTTTTCAATTAAACAATTTTCGAAAATTTAAAAAATTACATAATTATTTTTAAATAGCATCTAAGAAAATTTTTTTCTTTTCTTATGGTTTTAGAGATAAAATCTTCTTAAAAATTGTCTAGAATTTCTATTTTATTTCAGGTTTAATTTATTCTTTTTCATTTTTATTAACAAATCTTTTAAAATAAGATATTCTTTTTGAAAGTGCTTCCACTACTCTGTGTATTATTGCCTTAATTTTGGGAATATAGCCTTTGATGATTTTGCTTAATATCTTATAAATAAACCAAGAATTCATAATTATAATAATTCCAAATGAGGTATAAACGAAATAAAAGAAAGGGTTATCATACATAAATAAACCAAAAAGAACTGTCAAAGCACATACGTTTGTTGAATTAAAATCTATTTCATTTATTTCTGGCTCTTTGTAGGGATGGATTATCAAAGAAAGAATACCATAAGCAGCAATAATGATAAAAACAAGTATTCCCTTTGTAATAATGCTTTGAGAATAGAAATTCAAAACAAGAATTATTGCTAATTTCTCAGCCATCTTGACAAATTCCCAATAAAATGAATAATTTTAATATTCTTTATATAAAAATCCATATTTCAACTTAATTTCGCTAAATTCTAATTTATCTTTGTTTCTCCTTAGCAAAAAAAATAATATAGCAGGAATTATAAAAACCCAGAATAGTAGCATAGGAATAATAAGAGCCAAAATGTAGAATTAATGCTCTCTTGAATAGCAAACAAAAGATACATTAGATAGTATATAATTTGTATCACCTACTTATCTACATGAGAGCAGAGCTACTATTTATGCAACTAAATCAGGCTAAATATAAATTATTAAAAACATAATCGCGGTTGTTAAAATATACCAAGGAAATTTGTACTATTAGCCTTTACATTTTTTATAAATGTAATAGACAAGCAATAAGCTTAAAAATATTAGTATATAGACGAAAGGAATCATTAAAGAAAATAGAAGTCTAAGATAAATAATTGGAATACTTGAGTTTAAATCCTTTAAAGCACAATCAAGTGAACTCATAGTTTTATTAAGAGGCTGTCCAATTGTTTAAGGAAACTCAAAAATTCCTTTTAAATAAATATTTTTTTAATTGAAGAAAGTAACATTAAAATATTTAAAAATTTTTTAAAATAGAAATCAAAATATTCAAAAGGATTTTTTATTTCAATAACCCATCATTCAAATAATATTAAAAATCATTGATTTATTCATTCATTTTTGAATGGAAATTCAATTTTTTTTATCCATTCAAATAATGAATAAATTTCTCTCTTCTGTTCTCAAAATATCACCCACAATAACTCAAATTAAAATAATAATAATTGATTTACCAGAAGGAATTGAAAGGTTAAAAGTTGCAATAGATCCTACGATTTGTATGTAGTTAGTAAACATTTTAATTAAGATTCCTGAATTATCTTTATGTTTTATAAATTGTATTGAATTATTTTTTATGGGAGGTGATTACTAAGAAGATGCAAAATTTTTGCTTTATTATGAAATTTTAGAAAATATATTCTATTAAATTGAAAGAGTATTTCTCTTTTCTCTCAAGCTTTGAGATTTTTTTCTGAGTAGAATATTTTTTTGTATTGCCAAAATTGCTACATTTTTTCTAATAACATCAACATCTCCTTTAATTGCTAAGCACATTGAAAGTATAGTCCAAACTGTTACTAATATTAAAACCCAAACATTTCCTTTAATCTAATCACACCTTGTGCATGAATATTTTGCTGACTTCGCATAAGATTGCCCCCAATACTCACCAAAAATCTTTTATAAATTAAAATCTTAAATATAAAATCAAATTAATTAATAAATTCACTTACATCACATTCTTCACAAAGAGCTCCAATATGACCTTCATAACAAATATGATTTCCAAAGCTACCACCTACACAATTTTCTGGTAGATTAGAACAATCAATTAATAAATTGCTTGTATTACTTTTTCTCCAATATCCAGAATTAGCTACTATATTTGTTCCTCCATAGCATGTAGCTCCCTAAGGACATTCTAAGCAATTAGAAACATCAAAAGAGTAATAATTTTAAGGACATATTTAACACTCAGTTACCTAATTTAGATTATTAATTTTTTCTCCAGGACCACATAGTCTGAAATTAATAAGAATATTAAAAGTGTAATTTTAGATGAATTTTTGTGTTTTTTAATCTAATATGTAAATCTATTAAGAAGTAAAAGATATATTAGCTGATGTACCTGGAGTACCTATGATATTTATATTACTAAATTTAAAGGCTTGCAAATTTTCATCATATTTTGCAAAAAGATCTCCACTTAGAGAATATGAGGATAAATCTTTGGTTTCTGGATCAAAATTAACATTAACTTAATATGTATTGTAATCATCTGAAGTGATTGGATAAATTAATTCATTTTTATTATTCAGTAACACAAATTAAATCTCAGATATATTAGCTCCACTCCTGAAATTGTTTATTACTATTTAGTCTTTTTATACTACCCCATTATTAAGGTATATAAATTAATCAATATTCTTTACTCTCATCTGTGAAGGATATGAAATATCATCTTTTCCATAAATCAAAATAGTATTATTAGTGATTATATTGCTTTCTTAAGTGTCTACAGATAAATTTTATTGATAAATACCTCCTCCAATACTCGCTTTGTTGTTGATTATTTTTGAATTCTTCATTTTGATATTTTAAAAAGCAGAATTTAATATTTAAGAATCAACATACAGAGAACCTCCTCTGGTATTGCAAGAATTTTCAATAAAGGTTGTTTGGTCTATAATCATAGAAAATTTCTAATTTAATTAAAAAAACAAATGATAAAATGTAAATATGATATAATTCTTAAAATTACATCATTTTAAAAAGCATTTAGATATAAAGCTCCTCCATCATTTTAAGAAAAGCAATTTTAAAATTAAGTATTTGATATTTTGTTGGTATCATTAATTCCTTGAATAAATAAAGCGCCTCCAAATGTCGACTATATTTATATTTTTTTAAAAAATTGTTAATTTGAAATAAGGTTGATTTTGATCATTAAAAAAAAGTTTAAGGGCTACAAAATAAGCCTCCGAATAGGTAGAGGGATCCCTTAATTAATGAGAAGTTAGAGTATTTAAAAAATATTTACCTAAATTTCTTAGAAAACTGTGCTATCAATATTTAACGTACCTTTTGAAACTTAAATAGCTCCACCATTACAGTTAGAATTGCATATAATATTAGAGAAAAGGCTATCTTAACTTATATTTATAATTGATTGTGATGTTATAATCAAAGAAGAAGAGGAAGTTTAAGGTGTTTTATAAACATCTTATTAAATTAATCTTTTTTAAGAAAGTGTTTAGCTAATGTTTTTAAATATTATTGAAGAAAGCTCTAATTAGCTTTAGATTGAATAAATTACACTTGTTGTAAATGAAGAATTTAGTAAGTGTGTATTACTTATTTTTATTTAAGAATTTTAAGAGTTGATTAATAAAGGAAAAGTTGCTTATAGAGATTCAATTTAAAGGTTTGTAAAGTTACATTTATCAATACTTAAATTTGAATTTTATAAATTAGTTAGTGTTGATTGCTAAGAAACACCTGTTTTATTAATGTATTAACTAAAAGATATTTGGTTTGAGCTGAATTCCTCTGATAAAATTTATTTTATGTTCTAAAATAATATATTAGTGTTAACTACGTCA